GCTTCTCATCCAGCTCCCTGATTGTGGCCTGGGAAAGCACAGCGAAGGTTAAGCTAAAACGGTGGTACCCTGCACTGGCATGGGAGGCCAGAAAGAGGCTCTTGGCTCCTGCTTGGGTCAACTTCTCTGTATCTCTGTATCTTTCTCTCTGTATCTCCCTCTGTCTATAGATCAGCCTTTCTAATAAAATAAATATGTCTTTTTAAAAACTGAATGTTTGGGCCTGGTGCACTAGCCTAGCAGCTAAAGTCCTTGCCTTGCACATGCTGGAATCCCATATGGGCTTCAGAAGCCAGGAGGCAAGATCTTCCTCCAGGTTCCCCATGCAGGTACTGGGCCCTAAGGCCATGAGCCATGCTCCACTGGTTTCCTAGGCCTCAGACAGGGAGCTGGATGGAAAGTGCAGCATCTGCAACACAACCATTGCCCATACAGGATCCCGGTGTGCAAGGCAAGGATCTAGCCACTAGGCTATCATACTAGATTCTTATATCGGTTCTTAATACAAGTCTTTCTCTACACATGCTTTTGGTTCCTCTCAGGTAAATTTATTCTCACGTAATTAACCTGAATAACAAAGCAGGTGTACATTTAGCTTTGACAGTAGTTGCCAAAGAGATGTTTTTAATGAATTTAAACAACCCCCATAGTGGCTGTTTAATAATCACCCCAGTATTAGGATGTATGCACAGGATCCCAGCATCGTGCAGATGGCATTCTGGCTGGCCTATGTTCCTCTGGAAGTTCATAGTACTATTTTCTGAGTTCCAGCCTTTTGACTATCTGCATAAAAACAAGGCCTTTGGGCCCAGCATGATGGCCTAGTGGCTAAATCCTCACCTTGAATGCACTGGGATCCCATATGGGCACCAATTCTAGTCCTGGCAACCTCGTTTCCCATCCAGCTCCCTGCTTGTGGCCTGGGAAAGCGGTCGAGGACGGCCCAAAGCCTTGGGACCCTGCACCCACGTGGGAGACCTGGACAAAGTTTCTGGCTCCTGGCTTCAGATCAGTGCAGCTCTGGCTATTGTGGTCACTTGAGGAGTGAATCATCGGATGGAAGATCTCCCTCTGTCTCTCCTCCTCTCTGTATATCTGACTTTGCAATAAAAAAAAAATCCACAATGTTTCTATCACTTTGAGTCACTATTTCTGCCTCAGTGGAACTCTGAATACAACCTCTCTGTATTTCCCTGGTCAGCTTTTGTACCAATTCTGCATAACAGTGATGTCAAGTTTCCCCACTCCTTCAGCTGTCCCCCCATCCCCACACCCTTGGCTGTTGGGCTCGCTCAGACTTCCAAGAAAAGAAAAGCCAATGGACTGTACCATTCTGACAGCCAGTTCCATATCCAGAACTATCCTCCTTTTGTACAATTTCTCCTAAGAATCTCTGTCCCTTGGAATCTGGCCTTGTTGATATCCTGCCACCATCCCCAGCTTTAACTGCAGTATTTAAGCACTATTAAAAATTTCTCAGAAAACTTTCTTTGCATGCACATCAGTCATCATTCTACTCTGCTCATAGCCAAACTTCTAGAAAGAGTTGTCTCTATGGCAATCTGGTTTCTTCTTCCACCATTTCACTTAAACAGCTATCTCTGCACTAAACCATGACCTCTTTTTAAATATCTGCAACTTATTCACAAAGATTCACCATGCTGGGCCCCTGTTTTATTTTCTTAAGCAGCATTTGGCAATACTACAAGGCTGCCAGTTCTGGATTGGATTTTTTCCTATGTTGGCATACCAGCAAACATAGTTAGGTTAACACCAATGTCTCTTGGTTTTATAGAGAGAAAAATGAAGACAGAGCACAGATAATTAGAACAAAGGAAATTAGAGAGGAGTTGAAGGGACTGGAGAACTGGATGAGGTTAGAAAACAGGTGTAGCTGGTATCACAGAAGACCTGCAAGCATAGAATGTTTGTTGGGGAGAGGGTGGGTTCATTGTGATAGTTTTTCTGGGCGATGACAACCTGGAGTGCAGCCATTGATTGTTGTGGGTGATCTGAGTAGGGTGGAGGTGAATGAGCAAGTCAGGGAGCTGAAAGGCTGGCTGATCCAGATGTGGCTTGTGTCATCTGTGAAGTCAGCCAGGGGAATGTCAGGCCTTGGAAAGAGGAAGAGAACTGAAGCCACGGGTGGTTTTCACTGCCAGAAAGTCCCAGAGAGCCTTCGGGAGCAGGAGTCATCAGAGCAGGTGCCGGGAGAAGTGGTTCTGCTTGTGGTGTCCTACAGGAGTGAGAAGGATTTCTACCCTGTTTCCTGCCAGGGAGCTCTGGGATACTCTTGGGACCTTTGGAACAGACTTAGACCAGAGAAAAGGAGTGAGAACAGGTGTGGTTGCAGATGAGTTGCAGGGGAGGGGGTTGTCAGGAAGTCAAACTAGCTTGCTTGAGGGTTTTGATCTGAGCAGAAGGGGGGACTTCACTGTGGTTTTCCTGGCTGTACCCTGTGGCTGGTGACATGGATGTGAGAGCTCTTCTCCGCACCTAAAATCCTCTCCATCTTTCATCACTGTGTGTGCCTTCTGTTTGCATTCTCTCACTTCATGTATACCATTTTGCACATTATGTTTTTGTCTGAGTTTTACTTTCTATTTTTATGTTGTGTAATGAAACCTGCTTTTTTAACTTTCATTGATTTTTATTTGTAAATACGTGCTACTTATTTTAAAATGTAGAAAGAAGACTGGTAGTATGTATTTATTTTAGTATTTCTAAAATCTAGAAAGAAGGGCTGGCAATGTTGCAACACTGGCTTCTCATATCTGTGTACCAGCTCAAGTCCTGCTGCTCCATTACCCATCTAGCTCTGTGATAACTTGCCTTGGAAGGCAGCAGAAGGTGGTTCCTTCGCTTGGGTCTCTGCCACTCACATAGCAGACTCCAGTGGAATTCTGGGTTCCTGGCTTCAGCCTGGACCAGTCCCAGCTATTGTGGCCATTTGGTGAGTGAACCAGCAAATAGAGGTTTCTCTCTCTCTTAGGTCTCCCTCTGCCTTCCTTGCCCTTTTCGTTTCTTTTTCTCTCTCTCTTTCTCTCTCGCACTATAATTTAAATAAATAAAAATAAATTTAAATTAATTTTTAAAGATGTGGTTTTTTTGTTGGGGAAAGGCATATTTACAGAGAAGGAGAGACAGAGCAAAAGATCCTCCATCTGCTGGTTCATTTCTCAATGGCCAGAGCTGAGCCAATATGAAGCCAGGAGCCTTTTCTGGGTTTCCCCTGTGGGTGTAAGGTCCCAAGGCTTTGGGCCATCCTCTACTGCTTTCCCAAGTCACAAGCAAAGAGTTGGGTGGGAAATGGAGCAGCTGGTGCAAGAACTGTTGCTCATATGCCATAAACGGAGCAGGATCCTGGCACTTGCAGGTGGGGAATTAGCCTGTTGAGCCGTTGCACCAGTCCCAATTCCTTACTCTTGTGGAGAGAATTGTGTACACTTCCAGTTTGGGGTTATGGTCAGTTGTGAGTTAGGTTGGATTCTGTCAGTTCTGCTCAGTATTAATTCACTATCCATATTTTTCACAGGCTTACTATAAAAGTCTAAAAGTCCTTGGTTTAATGATCTCTGCTTAGGCAGAATAGAGAATTGGTCCCATCTAAGGAAGCTGTACCTGAGGAAGGGCACCTGTGAAACCCATCACGCTGCTCAGCATCACTGTGCTACCCATGGCAAAATGCTGGTATATATATGAGCCACCTGTGTATCTCTCTCTCCCTACCCTCTGCTTCCCAGAGATTTTCATGTGCCCCTTGGGGAGGCTTGTCCTGCTTACTCTGGAGAAAGACTTTGGTACTGAGTTACTTCTAGATTGTGAGTCTCGTGAAAATTAAGCTTGTGAGCTTATGCTTGCCTATTGTTTCTCCAGTATCCTGCTCAGTTTAGGGCACAGAAATATGAGTGGGTGAGTGAGCCACTGTTACTGGCAAACTCTGTCCTCTCATGCAGCTTGGTGTAGGGTAAAAGTTGTAGTGTATTTAGTGTCGTCAGCCTGCCTTCTCCATACCTCCTGCTATGAAGACTGCAAAGCTGCACATACAGTGAGCTGGGGAGTTTGAACAGAAATACCACCTGACTCTCCCCAGAGCTGCAATCTGGCACATGGATTTTTTGTGAAGTTTTTCAGGTAATTGTAAAGTACAGCCAAGGCTGAGAATCATGGTTTTAAGAGTATGTTCTTATAGACTTTTTTTTTTTTAATATTTATTTACCGATTTGAGAAGTACAGAGGCAGAGAAAGCTCCCTTGCAAATGCCCGTTAATTACTGGGCCTGGGCCAAGGCTAAAGCTGGGAGCCAGAAACCCAATCCAGGCGTCCTTCATTGTGGCAGAAACCCAGCTACTTCCGCTCTCACTGTTGCCTCCCAGAGTCTGCGTCAGTGGGAAGCTGGAATCAAGAACTGAAAGTCGAGCATGATACCAGTATCACCTGATGCGTTCTGCTGGCATTTTAACTACTACACCACCAAATACCAATTTCGAGATCTATTATTACTTGTATAGAATTCTGTTAATGTTGAACTCCGGGAAATGTGTGTGACAGGATCCCTCCCAAAAAAACATTGGTTCAGTACCTACATTTTAGTAACACCTGGGAAGGTTTTACCCAAAGTACTCTTGGTGAATTGTTCATAGGAACTTCAAGAGCTGGCATTGTAGTCCACAGGTTAAGCCACAGCTTGCAATGCCAGCATCCCTTATCAGCGAACCAGTTGCACTCCTGGGTGCTAAGGCTGTTTTGCTTCATTCCAGCACCCTGATAATGCACCTGGGAAAGCAGCAGAAGATGGCTCACATACTTGAGTTCCTGCTCTCCATGTGGGAGGCCAGGAGGGAGCCTTAGTTTGGCCCAGACCAGCCATTTCAGTCACTTGAAGATGAACCTAATGTATGAAAGATTTCTCCCTCCCTTTGTCACTCTGCCAGTCAAATAAATGAATCTTTCTTAAAATTAATATAGTACCTCATCTAGCATGTTTGTTTATTTTTCAGGTCAGCATGGGTTCCTGGTTCGTTCTAGTTCTGCTTGGCAGTGGTCTGATTCATGTCAGTGCCCACAATGCTACCACAGGTAAACTGTCCTATCATAAGGCCAATAGTGGGAATAGAATTTTGTTTTCACAAAATTTAATGATAGGAATTTGACTAATACATTTTTTTTAAAGAATAGTGGGATTTTACTCAAGTGATAGTAAAGTATGTATTTTTAGAAACCTTTGAATTGTATTTTATGCTCAGTGTTATTTTACATTACTGTATACTATTTTAAATAAAGAAATTATGTGGGTTTCCTGCCAAGTAAAATAAATTGCTTCTGTTTCAAACTTTGTTAACTCTGATCAACTAAGAGGTCTGTTTCCTCCTTCCTTCATTGTTAGTCTTTGGAGAAGTGAGAAGGGCCTGGCATTGGATAAAAAATGTACAAGAAGTTGAGGGAGACAGTCTTTGGTGTCCGCATCTTTAAATAGTTTGTCAAGATTTACTGACTTGTGTCTCTTGTTTTTTAAGCTTCATGTTTGTATAATATTGCCTTATTGTTTGGTTTTTGTAGTTTCACCTTCCATAGGAATTACGAGATCAATTCAATCATCAACAGCAGAATCAGTTAAAGAAGAGAACAAAACTTCAAATCCAACATCTTCAGTAACTTCTTTTTCTGTGGCACCAACATTCAGCTTGAATCTAACTCTGGGACCCGTCTATGTAACCACCGTCAATTCTTCAGAGTCAGACAATGGGACCACCAGAACAGCAAGCACCAGTTCTGTAGGCACGACCAGTTCGCCAAATGGAACGTTGCTTCCAGACACCCCGTTTGCAGATGCCCGCACCGAGCCCTGGGAGGCGAATTCCAGCACCGCAGCAACCACTGCCGAGACCTTCCCTCCTTCAGGTCAGCACACGGTCTGTTTGCTCTGCCTTTTGTTCCAGTTTATCCATCCTTTATTCTCTTTGTCTCTTATGGCCATATTCTCAGAAGTAACAAAGCAATGAAACAGATAGAAGAGATTCTTAGAACTTTCTGATTAACCTAGAATTAAGAAGAAAGGAAAGGGGCTGGACTTGTGACATAGCAAGCTAGGCTGCCACCTGCAATGCCAGCATCCCGTATCAGGGAGCTGAGTTTGAGTTCCAGCTGCTCCACTCCCAGGAAGGTGGAGAAGGAAGGTAGGCGGAGGAAGGACCAGTTATTGGGCTCTTGCCACTCACATAGGAGACTAGATGTAGTTCTAAGCTCCTGGCTTTCCGCCTGATCCAGCATCTTGCCATTGTGGCCATTTGGGGAGTAACTGGCAGATGGAAAGATTCTCTCTCTCATTCTGTAAGTCTTCCTCTCAAATAAATAAAAAGTATTGAAGGAAGGAAGGAAGGGAGGTTGGGAGGCAAGCAGGCTGGCAGACTGATTTGGAGAAACAGGTCGCAATACCTTTATTTTGTTCAGGGCCTTAGCCCAGCCCTCTTATCTCCTTGAGTCAGTCACTGGACTGAAGTATAAGTGATCCAAGGATAGAATCAGAGACCTGGATCTGAAACAGGTATTGAAGGAAAAGTTCTGACCTCTGAATCTCATGTTCCTTGTCTGTAACAGAAAATTAGAGGTTCCTTCTAAGGGCTTCTCCAAAGAGTAAAGAAGTGACCATTCTCCAATTGCCGTGCAAATGATACTCCCATTCTAGCAAAAATCAGTGTTTACTTTTCCGTGATCCTATCCCCTTGACTGAAGTTTCTTCTTAAATTCCACTAAGTGGGATTAACGTGAGGGTCAAAAGATGGGGGAAGGAACTCACTCTGAAACTCCTTGCTGCATTGCAACTCATTTGGTTCCCACGGATGGCAGTGCTAGCTATGCTTTACAAGTCAGACTCTGTGCTCGCCTGCTTCTCTGCCACCAGAGCGATTTAGCATTTGCAGTTAAGAACGCAGTCTGCAGAGCCTCCTTACCTGCTTGAATCCCAGCACTGCCATGAATTAGCCATGTGACCAGCTTCATCAGTCTGCACCTCAGTTTCTTCATCCGTGAAACAGCAGTGAATGAAAGTATTAGTTTTCACTTTACAGAGGAGCTATGAGATTAAGCAAGTTACTGTGACTAAAGCACGTACATATGGTCCCCACGTAAGATAAGCACTATTTTTAAGAGTTGACTCTTAGTATATTTTTTTAATTTGGAAAATCAGATATACAAAGAGTAGGAAAGACAAAGGGGAAGATCTTCCATCCAATGATTCACTCCCCAAGCAGCCACAACGGCTGGAGCTGAGCCAATCCGAAGCCAGGTGCCAGTAGCTTCTTCCGGGTCTCCCACACGGGTGCAGGGTACCAAGGCTTTGGGCTGTCCTCAGCTGCTTTCCCAGGCCACAGGCAAGTAGCTAGATGGGCAGCAGGTCAGTCAGGATTAGAACCAGCAACCGTATGAGATCCCAGCGCATTCAAGGCGAGAACTTTAACCGCTATACTATCGTGCCAGACCCAAGTATTGTTTTATTGTTTTCAAGTACTGATCTGACAATCCCCACTAAAATTTATGGGATACTTAGAATGTGTAAGACATCCTACTATTTTGGGTGGGATAGAGGAATGCAGACAAATGGTGTTTGATATGTGCTTATGATTTCAAGTTGATATCAGCTCTAGCATAGTACCACACCTAGCACATTGCAAAAAGTTCTATAGAATAATTCTGTGAGGTAAGTTGTATATTATATTTTTTAATGTATTTTTTTTTAAAGATTTATATATTTTTATTGGAAAGGCAGATATACAGAGAGGAGAGACAGAGACAAAGATCTTCCATCAGCTGGTTCATTTACCAAGCAGCCACAACAGCTGAGCTGATCCAGAGCCAGGAGCTTCTCCTGGGTCTCCCGTGTGGGTACAGGATCCCAAGGCTTTGGGCTATCCTCTACTGCTTTCCCAGGCCACAAGCAGGTTGCCGAAAGGGAAGCAAAGCAGCTGGAATATGAACCAGCATCCATAAGGGATCCCGACACATGCAAGGCAGACTCTAACCACTAGGCTACCATGCACTCTATATTACCTTTAGCAGGTGAAGAATTTTGATGAAACTGTCATTTATGGAGTGCTTTCCAAAGTGCAGGTCATGACCAATTCATAAAATCAGTTTAGTGAGTATCACTAATGTGTTTTGTTTTAAACGATCTTACTACATTTCTGTTCCTTCATATTACATATGTAATTTTGAACCCTTTGCTTTTCATACACAACGGAATTTTGTGTTCATTTTAAAAAATATCTTATTTATGTATTTGAAAGTTGGAGTTGCAGAGTGGAAGAGGGAGAGATAGAGATCTTCATCCAGTGGTTTACTCCCCAGATGGCCACCGTGGCCATGGCTGAACCAGTCCAAGCCAAAAGCCGGGAGCTTTTCCAAGTCTCCCATGTGGAATAGCAGTCCAAACAGTGGGATCAGATGCTGCTTTTTCCAGGGCTATTAGCATGGAGCTGGATTGGAGGAGGAGTGCTGGGACATGAACTGGCACACAAGAGATATCAGGCTTTGCAGATGTCAGTTTACCTCCTATACCACAACACTAGCCCTTGTGTGTGCAATTTGAGTAACCTCCTACAATGCGTGTCTTGCTGTGGGTTATGTCCATTGCTTTGGAAGGAAAAGTGGAATAATTTGTGCACTGCTTAGAGAATACATGGAAAAAGTAAAACTAACCCCTGCCTGCCTGACTGCACAGCCCACATTTGTACTGTGCATGAGGTAATGATGGACAGGTGTCCTCTTTGAACAGATTCTTATTTAAGACTATAGATGTTAATATTTTCTCAAGATTTCCAGTTTGGCAAGTAAGAAGTTAGGCTACTTCTCATTTTATGATCTTTCCACAATGCTAGTAAGGAACTTAGTTTCTCATTAACTGCTATACACCCAAATGATGCCATAGCTAAGAATCCAGTGCATTCCTGTCAGAGCAAACGTGAGACTGCGTTTATTGACAGCTTGTATTAGAGATCAACAAAACAGAGGAACTGTTGTCACACATGGGATTTCTGTCTCAAATCCCACATCCCACTAATCATTACCAGCTTCCCAGTTCTCCTGAAATCATTGTATAATAATTTTTGCTTAAATCAGAATTTGATATTTTACATTATTATGACTGTGAGATACTGCATATGAATAGCTACACATTTGGTGAGTTTTCTTCCTTTGTTGTGCATTTCCTGTGATATTAATAGTTTCCTGTTTTATGTTTCTATTTTCTGTTATTTCTTGCTAGCCATTTCCCTCATTTTCCAGAATATAATTGCACAGAAAGCTGTCAATACAGTTTTCTACAAAGTCAGACCTCTTAGCTCATCTGTTAGTTCAGTTACCCTGAAGAATTCCCCCGAGCCTGCCATCATCCTGTGCTAGTCTAGACTTGATCTCTAGGACTGCTCCACAGGTGTCCGCCTGGGTGCTGTCACCTGGACGTTTGGCTGTTTGCTGGCTTTCAGGTTGTTGCCTTTGGAGCCTTCTCTCAGAATTTGGTGGAGCACATCCTCCACCAGCTTCTGGAGGGAGGACTGTGTGGGAGGCAGATTGCCTGAGGTCTCACACGTCTAAAAATATCTTGAAGGTTGTGTGTAGAACTGAGGAAATCTTTTTCCCCCAGAATTTTTTCAAATATTGTCCTAACTCCTGATTGTCAGACTTGGAGGATTCCACTGCAACCCTGATTCCTAAGCCTTTGTGTACTTTTTAGAATCTTCTCTTTATCATTAATACTAACTGGAAATTTCATGGGAATGTGTCTTGATGTCGGTCTTTCTTGTCTGTGTTTTGGCTACTTGATAGGCTCTTGAAGCTGTGGTCCTTCACTTGTGAAAATGTTCTTATATTTGGAATTTTCATCCCTATCCCATTTTCTCTAACCTTTTCTGAAACTCTAACCACTTGTATGTTGGACATATCATGAATTAATGATTTCTTTAATGTTGACCTTTGAGTCTCATATTTTTAAAGTTTCTTTGTTTGAAAAGCAGAGTTACAAAGGAAGAGGCAGAAAGACATCTTCCATTCCTTTCTCCTTTTAAAATACCAAAAACATATCGATTCTTTTTCCTTCCTCTTCTATTTAGACTACAAATTGCAAATATAGTGTGCTCACTTCTCCCTATCACTCCTATCATACTTGTGCTGTATTTCAGTAAAGAGCAGCTTTATTGTGTGGGGATGCTCTAACGGATTTATCTGGTCAGCCCTGTAGTGGGTGTGAAGGATGTCTTCAGAGTTTTCTTATAAACAGAATGTCATTTCAAACACATTTGAGAATGGTATTAGGACAAATTATTTTAAATACACATTTATAAGTTGATGGATGTTGACAAGTTTCCCTCTTTACAGAAGCATATTCCTATTAGTGATGTCAAACACCTGTCTTTCTACCCTTTCTTCAGTACAGTTTATCATCAAACATTTGGATCTCTACCAATATGTAGTAAAAAAAAAAAAAATCTCAGTGTAGCTTTAATTTGCATTTCTTTGAATGAGGCTGAACAGCTTTTCATATTTTGAAAATCTGTTTTCATGAACACCGTTGATACTCTTTCCCCATTACAAGGATATCAGATTTTTGTGATTCATTTTCCTTTTATGATTCCTTTCTTGTATTTGTGTATATATATATTTGTAAATCTATGATCCATCCAATTCATTCCAATTGAAAGTGTGATCTATGGATCCATTTTTCTCCAGATGGCTATCTTGTTGTCCTGGCTCCACTTAGTGAACCATCAATGTCTTCTAATTTGAAATCCTACCTTTATTATGTATTAAAATTTTTATACATTTAGCATCTCACATGTTATTTGAGTATTTAGAGGCATTCTTGTTGTTTTCTGTTGATATTCTTCTCTGTCTACAAAACTGTTATAGGAGCTTCATAAAATAATATCCAGTAAGGCAAGTCATCCTTTGGTAATCTTAAGTTTGCTATTGCTCTTTGATTATTTTTCTTAACATTCGAATCAATTTGTCTAGCTGGATAAAATAGTTTTATTGTTCTTATTACACATATGAACAGAGTTGAAAGACATCTTTAAAATATTGTCCTCTTTCCCAAGAAGGTTTGTATTCCAAATGTTACCCTGGTTTTTTTTGGTAATTTTCTGTTGTATTTTTGTTCGTGTAAGTGGAGTATTCCAATACACCTAACCAGCTGCTGCTGGGAATATGAAGCCTATTGGATTTTTAACATGTAGTTTCTACTAACTGTCTTAGCAAGTTGTGTTAGTGCTTGAGGCACTAACTGATAAATTCAACAGTTATCACAAGCCATCAGATCATTTCATCTGCAAATATCCTCCAGATCTTTAGACTTTATTCTTTCTTCTATTTAATTGCATTGGTGAATAACTTCAGAGCACATTTAGGCAACAGTCTTATCTTCTACCTAACTCAAAGCAGGATGCATTGAGGGGGATTCCATTATTCATGGTGTTAACTTAAAAAACATGCTTGTCATAAGATATGTCAATTTATACTATTCTAATGAGAATTTATTTCTAAAGTGAGTATTAAATGTTACCAGTTTCCTGTTCAGCAAAATCTGTGAGATTCAAAATCTCTCTTGATCTGTTGTAATGATTTGAACTGTGTACATTCTCCAAGCGTGTTGATGTTAAAGCATTCTTTTTAATGAGCTGTTGCCATCTGCATATTATTTTATTTTGGATTTTTTTCATTGACATTCACAATTATTTCTAATTGAGAATGGTCTGTGTTTTTCCTTTGTGATGTTTTTGGTAAGTTTTAATTGTGACTGTTACACTGTGCTTCATGGAAAGAATTTATAAATTAACAGCTTGTACCTTATTCATAGTTTCAGATTTATTTGAATGAATTTGAAGCAAAGTTATCTTTTATTATTGGTTGATTTACTGCATAGCTATGAATAATTTTTATTCAACATTTTTTTCATATTTTTGGTCAACTGGCCATTTTGTTTCACAGTTTATTGCTTTATCTTGCAAAAAGCCCTACTAGTGTACATTTATTAATTCTGGTTTTTATTTTCCTGTATCATTGATTTCATTTTCTTCTTTTTCTTTCAGCCTTCTTTAGATTTATTTCGTGCTATTTCTGTCTTCTTGAACTAAAACTTAATTTTGTATACTTCATTGTCTATAGTTAACTAGCATATTTAACATCATGAATTTTCCATAAGCATGACTCTGATCATGTCCTATATATGTTACCCTGTAGGTAGCTGTGTTGGTTAGAGTGAATTCAGCCACTGAAACATTGGAGAGTTCATTTCCTAAAATATGGGGCTGAAAGTTTCCCACACTGCCGTACTTCATACTACATTGGTTGAAATGCATTACATGAATACACCCCACACAAAGGAGTTTCAGATATGTACTCTTTCACTAGACAGCTTTGTGCTCCACTGAAACGGGATCTATCGAAGACGAGCAGAGTGAGTGCAGAGTGGGGGAGAGCTTGACAGGTTCTACCATACTAGTGTTTGATCATTGCTGTTTTTAAGATTATTTTTCTATCTTGATTCTAATTTTAATTTTCACATGTTTTCTGCATTAGTTTCTAATTGTACTGTGCAATGATAAAAGAATATTGTATTGGTTATTTTATTGCAGATTTATAAGATTGTGTCAATATTCCACAGTTCTTTGAAAACAGATACCCCTGTTAGTTTATAGAGTGTGGTAAACATCAATTAGGTTTAATTACCTCTTGTTATTTCAGTGTTTTATATACTGATTTAGCTTTGCCCTTTGTGTTTTAATGATCCAAAAGATGTAAAGTCTTCTAACATATATTTTCATTACTCTTTACATTCTTACCCTTTTTGTAAGTACTGATGCTATATAGCTTATATGCTTAGAGTGAGACCTGACCACAGACTAAAATGCTGTGAGTGTGTTGCTTCCTGGTTGTGGGAGGATGCCTCATTCTAGCTCCAGCATTCTGAGGGAAAGTGTCTGTATTCCTGGAGTTTGTTTTGTTTTGCCTGAATCGAATGGTAATGTTTTTCTTTAACCTGAGTGAATGTTTCTGTTTTTCGCTTATTACACAGGTAATTCCGACTCGAACGACAGAAGAGGTGAGCCACTCACCTTGTGTCGGTTGTCTTTTATATAGAGTACAGTGCCATCCATGTGTCTCTGCTTAGTCTGTGGTGTCCTGTGCATCTGTGGCTATGTCGTTTGTTTCCTTTCCCTTAAGTTGTTTTCATATTGATTTCCTTGAGAAGAATAGTATGTAGTCAGTGTGATTTTGAATGTAGATTATAGGTTCCAGCAACTTTTAGCAAGTAGTAAGCTATATATTTAATTAACTTATTTGAAATGTAGAGGGAGAGACAGACGGACGTAGATTTCCCATCCTCTGGTTCACTCCCAAGTGGCCTACAATAGTTGGAACTGTGCCAGGCTACAGCCAGAAGTCAAGAACTCATTCCAGGTCTCCCACATGGAGACTGCCAACAACTGAACTGCTTGAGTTGTCACCTGCTGCTTCTCAGGGAGCACATTAGCACAAGAGCAGAGGTGGGACTGGAATGTGTCTGAAATGGAATGTAGACTACCATTTGGTGATACTATAATTTTATACATTGTAGTTAATTTCTGGGTTCTAGGTGCCCATATGGGATGCTGACACTGCAGGTCAAGCATTAGCCTGCTGCACCATTGTACCTTTCCTGTATCATGTGTATTTACATATTTGTATAACCATCCCTTTTCAGAACTTTGTATCATCTTGAAGTCAAACTTAAAAAAAATATTAAAGAATAGGGCCCAACATGGTAGCCTAGTGGCTAAAGTTCTCACCTTACAAGCACCAGGATCTTGTATGGACACCGGTTCATGTGCTAGAGGCTTCACTTCCCATCCGGCTCCCAGCTTGTGGCCTGGGAAAGCAGTGGAGGACAGCCCAAAGCCTTGGGACCCTGCACTCATGTGGGATACCCAGAAGAAGCTCCTGGCTCCTTGCTTCAGATCAGCTCAACTCCAGCCATTGTGGCCACTTGCAGAGTGAATCATCTTCCTCTCTGTCTCTCCTCTGTGTATCTGACTTTGCTATAAAAATAAATAAACCTTTTAAAAACATATATTAAGTAATAACTTTCCATTTGCTCCTTCTCCCACCTCTCAAAAACTTCTGCTTTTTGCCCTATGAGTTTGTGAAATCTAGGTACCTCATTTTAGTGGTATCACACATACAGAGTTTTTCTAATTTTTTTAAGCTTCATTTATTTTTGCTTGAAAGGCAGATTTACAGAAAGAAGGAGAGACAGAAAAATCTTCCACCCGCTGGCTCACTCCCCAGATGGCTGCAACATCCAGAGATGAACAAATCCTAAACCAGGAGCCTCTCTGGTCTCCCATGCATGTGCAGGGTCCCAAGCAATTGGGCCCTCTACTGCTTCCCCAGGCCACAAGTAGGGAACTGGATCAGAAGTTGAGCAGCTGGGACTCGAACCGGTCTCCATAAGGGATGCTGGCACTTGAGGGTGGAGGATTAGCATGTTGAGTTAGAGCACTGACCCCTTCCCTCCTTTTATAAAGTGTTTTTGCTAATGTGGCTCAGGGTGATTTGAGTAAGGTGTGGGAACACATTAAACTCAACCTGGCATTATCTCCTCCATGCATCAGAGTTGGTAATGACTGCTCCTCAGTTGTTACCGGGAGAAATAAACTCTAGACAGAGATCTGCACGCAGCAAGCTTAGAGAAGAAGCATTTTCTCCCTGTAGCCCCTGTGAGACTGTGAGTGGTAGCAAGGCTGTAGTGGGTTCCAGGCAGTCAGATCATAGGCATCAGAGGCTCATAACCCTGAAAGCTACGGAGCTGGAGTCACTGAGCAAGTACAACCTTTGCCCTGGACCAGTCTGCTGTCTTAAGCCAAGAGCAATTCTGAAGAAAGATGTGGCTAGTGTTAGCCACTAAGCATCTGAACAGTAGAGAGAATGGTTCCTTGTTCAGAAGAGGAATTGGTGATTGTTGACTGCAGTTCCCAGGAAGTCTGAACAAGATAATATTCCATACTGCTATTCATAAATAAAGGATTTTCCCATCTAGGAAAATATTGCTGATTAGTTTTGAAATGTGAGGGTGCTTCTAAAAGGGTGGAATTGGGCTTGTCACTGTAGCCTAGTGACTGAACCCCTCACCTTGCATGCACCAGGATCCCACATAGGCGCCAGTTCATCTCCTGAATGCGCCACTTCCCATGCAGCTCCCTGCTTGTGGCGTGGGAAAGCAGTCAAGAACGGCCCAAAGCCTTGGGACCCTGCACCCATGTGGAGCCCTGGAGGAAGCTCTTGGTTCTTGGCTTCTTATGAGCTCAGCTCTGGCCATTGCAGCCACTAAGGGGTGAATTATCAGATGGAAGGTCTTTCTCTTTGTCTCTCCTCTCTATAAATATGACTTACCAATAAAAATAAATAAATATTTTTTAAAGGGATGGAATTAAAAAATAAACTTATTTTGGTGTAAAATTTTTGGAAATCCATTTATGTTGAGGGGTGTTCTTCAAAAAGTTCATGGGAAGTGCGTATTATGAAATAACTTGTGTAAATTTTACAACTTAAATGGTTGCTACTGGGCCAAGAGGTTCGTCCAGGTCTCCACAAGAGTATAGGCCCAAGCACTTGGACCATCTCCCAGGAACATTAGCAGGGAGCTGGATCAGAAGTGGAACAGCCCATATGGGATGTCAGTATCACAGTTGGTATCTTAGCCTGTTATGCCGCATTGCAGTCCCCCTCCACAAATTTTTCTAATTAGTCTCATATTTATTAAACCTGGGAAATGACTGGATTATTTGGAGAGTGTAATGTTTAAAAATGTTGACTCTGGAGCCAGACAGTGTGAGTAGGCAACCTAACCCTGCCATTTACCAAATGAGTGGGAAGCTATATAGCATTCCTATGGTTTATCTCACTGTCTGAAAAATAGGAAGCAAACTTTCACTCATAGGGTTGTTGTGTGGAATGAAGTGATGCATATACAGTGTGGAGGACAGCACAGAGCAGTTGCTCAGCAAGTGTTAGCTGTCACCTTCACCATCCCACCAGCCCCTCCTGTTACCATTGCTGGAGAGTGCAAGCACAAGGAGGCCAGGCACTCACAGGCCTCCTGGTCTCTGTGTGCAGCTCCAGGGACCGTCCTCTTGTACCACACCACCGTAGCCACAGACACCAGCTCATTTTCTGCCCTTCACCTTTTGAACAACATCCTGAACAAACCCCTGGCATGGGTCATTATACTATAACCACTTGGTTATTTCTTCTTGTTGTTGTTGTTGATTGCAATGAGCTGTTCACATGAAGACCTTATCACTGATGTTTGGTAAATAACAAGAACACAAGATAAAACCAGTTATCCCCATGCTATTCTAACCATAAGTAATCATTTCTGTAATTGCTATTTAAAGACCAGAAATAGTGTATTAATATTTAAAGAAAGGAATTTATGAGCTAGTGTTCTGGAACCACTCAGGGCAAGTCATCTGCTAAATGCCAGAGGATCTTAAAGTTTCTGTTCACACTTTGTGTCATCTGGATATGCTTTCCCAACTTTTATCCATGTCAATATTTGGCTAGAGTTGAAGTCTAGACAGAGTTGGCATTCTTGTTTAAAGTTGTATTTTTAGATCATAGTGGGTGGCATTGTTGTAAGCTCCATTTGTGCTGATTTTTCCCAACTCTTTAATGATGTATTCATCATTCATTCAGTACCTGATGATGCTCAGGATGCCAAAAGGAAAAATAATACTTCCTGTCTTAAGGAGGAGACACATAACCAGGAAGCAAAGTGCACCCCAGGTACATGCTGTTGGATGCCCCACAAAAGTGTTGAGAGAAAGCAGAAGACATACTGTGCCCAAGGAGAAAGAAGAGGACACAGAAATAAGCACTGGCAGTTTGGGTGAACATGAGGGCACACAATATAACAACAGACATACTAGGGCAAAAGCAAAGGCATGAAAGAGCAAGTCATGTGTTCGAAAAACTGCATTTAGATACCTATTGTTGGAAAGGGGTGGTGACAAATAGGCATCCATCATCCAAGACCACCATTTACTGTTTTGAAATGCCTGCTCCCTGTCTGAATCTGGAAAGTGAAATTATTAGAATGGGAGTTGGGGGAAAAGTGGATGGGTAACATTGAATAGGTCAGTGTACCTGCCTCACACTCACTGCATCAGCAAGTCTAGCTTCCCAGAGGACCCTAGCCAGGACAATTCTAAACAGGTGATACACCTGTACAGTCTGGGAGGAGCTCTAGGAAGATGACTTGATCCTCAGTTTTTCTCCAAGTCTAACATTTGATCAATGGAACTGTCAAGTTATCTCCTGTTGACTATATAAATCTGAGTCTCCTTCCTTCACGGCAACCTGAGGACATCTTTGCTACCTGCATTGTCTTCTGGCTGTATTAAAAACAAGGATGTGGAGTAAGCCTTTGGCACACCAGCTAAATTGCCAGTAGTGGGTATCCAGATTTGAGACCTAGCACCACTGTCCATTCTAGCTTTCTGCTACTATACACCCTGGAAGATTCAGGTGATTGGATCTTTGCCACTTGTGTGGCAAACCTGTATTGAGTTTCCAGCTTCTGTCCTTGACCTGGCTCAGCCGAGCCAGCTAATAGAAAGTCTGCCTTTCCAATAAATAAATAACCACTGGTGTGATGGAATTGGTGTTTGGCACAGTGGCTGAGCCATCAGTTGGGACACCACCATCCCATTTTGGAATTCTTCATTGAGCTCTTTACTCTGTTCCTGATTCCAGCTTGTTATTGATGCTGGTGGCTTACATGGTAAGACCGGGATTGAGTTCCTGGCCCCCAGGTATTTCTGAAGAGTTATTTTATTGTGTTACTTAGGTTCCCAAGGTTACAATTGTTCTTGGTATTTGTGAGTTTTGCCCAGAGCATTAAGTTGCCTAGAATGTGCTGACAGTTGAGTTTCTCTTCAGGAGTATCCTAAACTAGTATCATAAACACCACTCACATTTTCTTGTTCTTACGGCCCAATCAGCAAATGGTCGATGGACCTGGCAGCTACATGCGCACAACAGACACACACCAGGAAGAATTCCCTACCCCAAATGCTGTTGGTGTGAGGTTGAGAAACCATGATGTAGATGAAAAAAAAAATACACAATTGGCGTATAGTGGCATTTGTTTCCTATCATACTGAAAAATATTGCAAATATACTTGCAGCTCACACTTTGTAAAAGAAGTCTTCATCACTCTCTATGACAAACCCTGCACTCTGGAAAGAGCAGTGTTTTTCTAGCTAAGTAATAATGGAAAACCACAGCTGGTCACTTAGCCTGTGGGTTTACTGACCCAGGTGGCAGGCCCTCCTTGCTTTAACACTTTCCTGGTATCCCAAGTCCCATTTTGAATCCCCAGTCCAAGTTAACTCTGAGCTTGAGGTATTCCCTCACCCAGACTGGTAAACTAGAAGTAGCCAGGACTAGAACCATGTCCATATAGGATGCTGGCACTATGGGTGGAGAATTAGCAAGCAAAGCCACTGTATTAGCCCCTGGAACTAACTTCTCAGCTGGAAGGTTTTTGATTCCTGTTGATCCCTTTCAAAGAAGCTGATTCCCGTGTGTTTTGTCCCCATCAGAAATCACTACGAGGTTGTGGTCTACATGTGTCATCTTTTGTTGTCTTCCAGATATGCTATAGATGCATTGTAATTTTTATATTCTGTTTTGATTTGGGGGGAGGAAGACATAAATGTATGGGCTCAGCTCACTGTTTGGATACATGTCTTTCTAATTATCTCCTTGTATAACTGGTACACAGCCATCTGTGATTGGGATTTAACAAATTGCCAAAAAATGTGTTATTCATTCAACATAATCCAGTATTTGTATAGTGCCTGCTACGTGTGAGAACCTTACTGAGTTTTAGGTGCACAATGAAAAGCAAAACAGATCTGTACTCCTTTTCCTTGGGGCATTTTTGTTATAAAGTAGGGACATTCATTAATCAAATACAATCAAATAAAGGCATACTTCCAAAGTATGAATGGTGTTACCAAGGGAACTTAGAGTATTCTAGGAAAATAATAAAGAAAATAAAACCAGTATTCACTGAGTGCATAACATGTGCCAAGAACTTTACAGAATTGATCTTATTTAATCCCTAGAATAACTCATTTTAGAGATGAGGAAACTAGGATCCTAACTTAGCATTAAGAAGTCATAAAAGCCTGCTCTTGGAAAAGTGACAATGGGTATGTAGGGATTGGCCAAGCAAAGAGTGGAAGAAGGGGTGGGATTCAGAGGAATGACTTGCGCAGAGGCTAAGCATGGGTAAACGCCCCACAGGATACTCCAACACTTGCTTCCTTTGAAACCGAGAGGAGGGGTAGCAAATGGGCAGAGAGAGGTCTGACCAAGCAGTGCAAACGTGGGAATGGCTGGCATATTATTTTCCTTAGGCATCTATCTAATCGCATCAACCAGATAGAATTGTAGAAAAGAATGCCAAAGACAGAGCCTTGAGGAGTTCCCACAGTGTGAGATTTGGTGTCAGATGAGAAACAGGTAGCCAGGGAAACAGCTAGAGCGGCCAAGAGATAGATAGTCAGAAGGGTGCTTTGTTGTGGAAAGCAAGAGCAGAAAATGTTTTAAAACGGAAGGAATAAACAAACCAGTTTGAATCTTCGTTTTCAGAGGAAAGCCACACAGAGTATGTTGAAAAATTACCGTCAACAAGAAGCATAATGTAACATTTTCCATGTTTTAAAAGCCAAACTCTCCTCCCTGCGCATCCCTCCAGTTGCTGATGCATTTCTCTGTGCCCCATTTTGGTAAAAATCCTCAGAGGAATTGTGTCATTACTTTCTCCTCTGTAACTTCGTTTCATTCCGTTTAGGTTTTCTCACCCCACCTCTCGCTGAAACCACTCTTGAAAAAGTCACTGATAGCTGCCATCTTTACAAATCCAGTTTCACCTTTGTTTTCATCTTAACTTGATCAGTGTTTGAGTTGAAATACTCTCTCCTGGTAAAGCTGCTCTTGATTTCCATGATATTCTAGATTACCTCCCACTTCGTGCATACACAGTATGTAGTGTTTCCCATCGCATGCAGAGCCAGATCCATTCTTAGTATCATAACCTATTGAAAGCCTGAATGTCGTGAATCTTGCCACATCTTGGACCACACTGGACTTTGTGTGAGTTCTTGAATCCTCCAAGGGCCATGTGCTTGCTATTCCCTGTGACTAGAAAGCTATGTACCTGGGTATTTGCATGGGTCAGCCTCTTTACATTGTTTAGAGCCCTGCCTACGTATGGCAGAGATCTTCCCAAACTATGCTGTTACTGCTCCTCATCCAGCCACATTTTATCTCCTTTACCTTGCTTTTCTTCTTCACAACACTATTCCTACCTGAAGTTAAGTGTCTGCTTGGTTTATGAAGGTGTCCTCCTCCTTCCTGCAGAATATACTGACTGACTTGCTTAATCACTTCTCTGTTCCCAGTGTCTGGAATAATGCCTGACACACAGTTTCTGGCCCTTAAATATTTTTTCAAATGAATACTGTTAAAAGGCTGAATCAATTCAGATGAGAATGGAAATGTTTTCACTGGATTTGGCAGTATGCCATTTGTAAGTGTCTTTGCTGAGTGCCTTAAATGGATCATTGAGGGTGAGAGAGCAAATAGATTAAGGAGAATGGGAGGTGCAGAAGTAGAGCAAACAGGCTAGACAACAGGTTGAAGTTAGCTGAGAAGTGAGACATGAGGCTGGTAGTAGCTAGAGGTCAGTAAGATCCAGAAGGCAAATCTTGGAGGTGACAGTAAGGATGTAGTCCAGGGGCCCAGGTGTCAAGACTGACCTTGAGATGGGAGGGGCATGTCCTCTGTGGCAAGTGAAAAAACAGGAAGATAGTTATAAACTCCAACTGGCTGTGTGTACTTCATAGCAGGGGGTGTGAATAGAGGATGAGTCCGTGTCTACTCTGCTGCTGAGAAGCGGAGCTGGTACTGGGTGGGAGGGGAGCCAGGCCCTGTCGAATGGAGAGAAGATTTGCTGTGTCTCCAGGCCATATTTTTCTGTACCTGGGGTCTTGACATTGGTGACAGAGAAAGGAGAATGTGGGATGTGATAGAAAGGAGCAACCAGCGGTTTTTAATACCTAGTGCCTTAAGGATCTAATAATACCTACTTGTTTTAATCAGAAATTATCATCTCTGTGCCGGGAAATAATTTAAGTTCCTCTAGCTGGAGCCCAGTGATACTGAGAGTACAGTGTTGGCACTATATCCCCAGTCTGCCGTCAGCATTGGATGTATAAGAACATCCATATATTTGAGTGCCTGTTACATGCTAAGTACTTTATCAGGCTCTGTAGCAGTAAGGGAAACACAGTGCCTTCAAAGTTTTTTCCTAATGCAAGGGGATGAGTAGATGGATGTGTGGTGTGTGTGGAGGAGGTAAACATCCCACCCTAAGTTCCATGTATCTCCCACTGCATCCTAATGGCCTGGGTGGCTGTGGGATGTGTACGCTCTCCCATTTCTCTGTGTGTCTCCACATGCTGCCAACAGAAGTATTGAATGAGCTCTTCTTCCTCATCAGACTGTTTTGCTGAGTGTTAGCATGTGCCCTCTGGTGTACAATGTAGTAATGTCATATTCTGTTATCTTGATTTCAGATGAAACACCAATTATTGCCGTAATGGTGGCCCTATCCTCTCTACTAGTGATCGTGTTTATTATCATAGTCCTGTACATGTTAAGGTAAGCATAATGCTGCTTCTGCATTCTCTTAGACTCTGTCTTGGTACACCCAAGGTCTCAGTAAGTCCACACAGTAAGTCCTCTGCTGTGTACTGCAGGGATAAAAACAATGAGTAAGGTAAAGGGAAATGACTCATTATAGTACCAAAATTAAAATTTTACTTAGTGCTGATTGAAAAGCACTAGGTAAGTCTTCTTTAGCCCTGATCCCTCCAGTTTGCTTCCATTAGTACAGCCTAACCCAGAATGATAGTCTGGAGATTGGGAGACAAGCCATGGTCTGTGACTGGAGTTTCTGGAGCTTGCACTGTAACCAGGTGGAAGCAGCTCCTAAAAGGGCTAGAGTAAAATAAGAGGTAGGCTCAACAAATGCTTGCTTTATTTCTAGTTGACTTTTTGTCCCTAGTCCTGTTTGGGACACCTGTCCCTGGAGTGTGCTGTTGAACCCTGTGAGTTAAGTCATCCAGGGTCCTTTCGATATTAGCACCCAAACAGTGAGCGGAAGCAAAAAGGAAAGCTGTGGAAAGAAGAGGGCAGCGTATTTGCTCTCTGCTTGAATAACACGGCTAGCCTAACAGCTTCACTTGCTTCCTCTGCTCTGTTCTGCAGAGATAAGTAGTACCTTTGTGCACCCCCTCCAGTTTGAGGTATGTCTCCAGATTTCTGCAGGCGACTTATAGCCTAGCCAGATCTGGGTTCCATCCCCCACCCCATTCTTGAGCTCTGAGCTTCTCCTTGGAGCTCCCAGTCTGCACTGGGGAAGTACTAGGATTTTTATTTATCTGATAAACAGCTTCCAATATCCCCTGACTGTGCTACTTTCTCATATGGCTGCACCCTCTAGTAAATTCTGGAATTGGAGCTGCACAGAGGAGCCATGCAAGCTGGGGTGTCTTGCTGCCATGGCCTGGGTTGGACTCTAGTACATGGAGGGCCAGTGGGAGCATCCTGCAGTGGCAGCTTCCACAGGATGTGCTGTGCAGAAAAACTCATTGACTCACATGAATAAAAAAAAAAGTTGGTCTCTGTTGCCTCTATGTTGAGTTCTCTATAAACAATTTCTCATTAGGTTTAAGAAATACAAGCAAGCTGGGAGCCATTCCAATTCTTTCCGCTTATCGAACGGCCGCACTGAGGATGTAGGTAAGGCCATATATTAACTTTCATGGGGAACTTTCATGGAATAAAACCAATAATTTAGGGGTCCCCCCATCTTTTAAAAGAATTAAACTGCTGAAGGAAGAAATTTAAAAAGAAAAAAGTTTTTAAGAAAACCTAAGAAGCTTGATCCAGTAGTTAACTTAGTCCCCAGAAACAGCTAACTGACCATCCCCCTTGTCCACTGTAGAGCCCCAGAGTGTGCCACTTCTGGCCCGATCCCCAAGCACCAACAGGAAGTACCCACCCCTGCCCGTGGACAAGCTGGAAGAGGAGATCAACCGGAGAATGGCTGACGACAATAAGCTCTTCAGAGAGGAATTCAATGTGAGTTCTCTGACGAAGCTGGTGTATCAGCAGGGAGGAAGGCAGACCTAAGGTCAGGCCTTCAGAGTTGTGGGGTCACAAACAGATTTCTGTTGATTGAGAGGTGAGAAGTTTTTACGAAGTTCATCTCATTTCCTTTCTGTTGGATTACAACAGAAAAAAAATTTTCGCTTCACTTCCCTCCTCTACCTTTCCATCCATTCATCTGCTTTTCACATCTGCTGCTCATTTGTTGAATGAACACTTAATCCAACATCTAATATATGGCATGTAATATTCTAGGGAAGCCAAAGCTTCAGCCCCTGCTCAGCAAAGTCAATGTCCAGCAGGGAATCCTCACAAATAGGAGCACAAATAACAGCTTGAGTAGCGGTAGAGAACACGAAGGACTGGTGAGCAGGTGACCCTTAGCATCTGTAGAGTGGGCTGTCAGGGTGGGTCAGTGTGGAAGATCAGGCTGTTTCAGAGCACAGGCCTCAGCTTGGATGTTGAAATTCACATATATGTATTTATAATGTATTTCTTTAAGAGAAAGCACATATATATCACTGGTCTATTGCCCAAATCCCTACAGTAGCTAAAGCTGGGCCAAGCCCAAAACCGCAAGCCAGGAAATCAGTCCAGATCTCCCACATGAGTGGAAGCAACCCAACTACTCAGGAGCACTGGCAAAAAGCTGGAATCAGGAAGCAGAATCAGGCATGGAATCCAGGTACTTCCATATGAAACACAGGTGTCCTGACCAGCAGCATTTTTTTTTTTAAGATTTACATGTTTTTATTGGAAAGTCATATATAAAGAGAGGAGGAGAGACAGAGAGGAAGATCTTCTGTTCACTGATTCACTCCCCAAGTGGCCATAACAGCCAGAGCTGAGCCAAACCGAAGCCAGGAGCCAAGAGCTTCTTCAGGGTCTCCCATGCAGGTGCAAGGTCCCAAGGCTTTGGGCCATTCTTGACTGCTTTCCCAGGCCACAAGCAGGGAACTAGATGGGAAGTGGGGCTGTCAGGATTAGAACCAGTGCCCACATGAGATCCTGGTACCCATGTGGGATCCTGCTGTGTGCAAGGCAAGGACTTGACCCACTAAGCTATCATGCTGGTCCCCTGGCCAGCATCTTAACTGCTAGGCCAACATCCACCCTGAAATTTGCTGGGCTATGTTGTTTTGTTTTTTATGTAGCTCTCCCAAGGAAGTAGAACGTGTTTGTCAGCCATCAGTTGGTAATCCCAGATCAAAAGAGCTTTCTTGCAAAAGAATTGTTCTGAGACCTAATCATGGGAAGTAGGGGTAAGGAACATTCCAGGGTTTGGAAAACAGCAAGTACAAATTGTTAGGAATAAGGGTGATTAAGAGAAGGACACATTCAGAAAGTTACAGAAGTGCAGAATGGTTGAAGGGCAGAGACTTAGGGTATTAAGGGTGAAAAGCCATGGACCAATCTGGTATATATTTTGAAAAGATAAATATAGTTGCTGTAAGAGGAATAGCTATTGGGGCAAAGTACAGTTGGAGACTGTTTCAGTTGGTAGGCCCAAAGTGCTGCAACAGGCACACAGGGGCTGCATTGTGCCACAGTGGGTTAAGCAGTCACTTGGGGCATTCACATCCCATATCAGGGTGCCAAAGAGCAAGTGCTATCAGTGCTTCCAAACTAGCTTCGTATTACTGCAACTGGGAGGCAACAGGTGATGGCCCATGTACTCGGGTCCCTGCCATTGACATGAGAGTTGTAAGTGGAGTTGCTGGCTCCTGGCTTCCACCTAGTCCAGCTCCAGCTGTTTGAGTCATTTGGATAGTGAACTAGCAAGTGGAAGGTTAGTCTCACTTGCTCACTTTCTGTCGCTCTGCCTTTCAAATAAACAGAGAAGTAAATAAATCTTTATAACAAATACTAGTGAAGTACCCTAAAATGGCAGGGATTTCAAAAAGGGAAATGAATTTAAAGACATGTTGAAATTAAAGACATAGTTCTAGAATTGACTGAGTCATCAACTCAGGTATTGCTCAGCTGTTTCCTTCACATCTTTATGCTGAGCCGTGTATTAGCTGTGCCTCCTGAGGTGACTGTCCTCAGGAAGCCAAAATGGTTACCCCACATCTGGACATCACATACAGAAATAACAAGGTCCAGGGAGAAAAAGATTGACTGTTTCTTCCTTTTATTATTGAGGAAAATTTTCCCAGAATTTCTAGAGACTTCTTACCCCCTGCTCCATCTTAAGTCAGTCATAAGCATTATCATGCTACTGTTTCTGTGAAGTGAGTTCTTTCTTTGGAGAGGATATTCCTCAAAATCCCATGATAAGGTATTGCATGAAATCCCTGGGTGGTGGTAGTGTTCTTAAAGGTGTGATAGACAAACTTCTGTATTGTAGGGAGAGACATTGGCTTTGCTACCACAGACTCAGTGTTCATGGGTTCACTGAGCCCGCACTGGGGTATGAGGGAAAGGACTGACCCACACATCTTGGGTCCTTAGCAATACCTGCAATCTAAGAAGCATAAGTATTTCCTGCTTCTTGTTCCTGTTGTCCACTGCCCAGACCAGTTTAAATCCTGACCTCTGGTGAGGCAGATAGTATGGCAACTTGGTTGAAGTACAGTTTACTGGGAGGATTTCTCTCTTAAACCTATTTAGAGTTGTTAGTTCAGTAAGTTAACCCCACAACAGCCTCCTGAGCAGGGCCAGGATGCTTCATAGAACCATTTGTGCACCAGCTGGACTTTTCTCTAGCTCATAATTGATGTCAATAGGAGAATCAAAAGTGACTGTCAAAGGAGTGAGTTTTGTGGCAGGTGCCCCACTTTGAACTGATGCTGGGACCCTGCTGGGCATATCCAGATATATGTCTTCTGATTCTCATGATGCCTAATTGAAGTCGCTTGGTCTGGGCACCTAGTGTCTGTGATCAGGCTTACTCACTTTACATCCCAATACAAAGCTAGCTGTTTAGTCCTGCTGATGGACTCATGGTCTGGGCTGTTCACTGTGGTTCTCCTGTTTAGCCTTATCACAGACATCTTAGAGCCCCATAGAATCTATCAGAGCCAGCTTCTGCATGGCCTGCATACAACTGGAGAAACTTCTCTGTTCAGATCATTGAGTAAATCTGAGGTGGTCCCACAGGTATTACTCTTCCTTCTTAGCAGGAGGGGGACATACATTGCAGGAGCTATTTTGGTGTGCTATAGACTTTTGACCTTCAGGAAGTGTTGCTGAGTAGCAGGCCACTATATTTTTATGTCTAGCGTGTACATTCCAAGATAATAACTTCTTGTTCTTTGAGTTCTGTCAACTTAATATTGCTAATGTAGTTGTCACGGTGATGTCCTCTGAAACAGAAAAATCCTGATGATTGAGACCCAGCACAGAGAGGTGAAAATGATTTATCACCAAGACTGTCCCTGCCATCAGAGAGAGAAACTGCCCACCTTAAAGAGAATATACAGTTACAACATCAGTAGCTAATGCTAGTGGTCATTGTACATTCCATTGCATCACTAAATACAGAGATGTGAATGGACTATCTCTGCTTCTGCCCTGCATCTTGGGACTTAGCCTTTTGGTGGAAAGAGAGCACTGCTCCAGGAGCTTGCATTTGCTCTTTCTGTGACGGTCCCTATCCAGTGGGATGCATGTGAGTATTCTGCTGTTTGGCAGATCCTAATGTGAGGCCAGTTGCAACCAAAACTCCTTCCTTTGCCTGGCTTGCAGAAGTTCCATTCTCACCAGCATGTCCTAAAGGCCTTCTAGGTTCCCAGGAATTAGTTAGCTCAAAGCCAGAACCCAGTAAACCCCAAGATGCCTTTCCATTTACCCAATTTGTAGTTACCTTGGCAGAAGCCTTCAGATTCTTAGGGAATTAGGGGAAGATGTGGAAGAAGTTCATAGTGTGTGTTGGTGTGCTATTGCTGGATTCTTTCTTACAGGTGCCTGCTTCCCCCCTTTACTTTGTGAGTGACTTGGGGTCTATAAAATGGCCCATCCTTAGAAGCTGGATGGTAAGGTCACCTCTAATTCAGTTACCTAGGAGCTGTGCCCTCAGCTGAGCTAAGCTGGCAGCTCCCATTTCCATTATTGACATTTATTTAATGACATTATCCCCAACCAGAAATGACAGCAACGTTGTCATTTAGTGCCCCTTTAGTGCCCCTTCCCTACCACTAAGTTCACAAATTTTGTAGTATAGTTTTCTTCATGAAAGCAAGATGCAGTGGAGCCTAATAGAGATTTCTGAAAGTGGGCTTTCTCCAGATTCACTCCAAACTTCAGCATCATTTCATTTGTCCCATTTAAAGCCCTTTCACATGAACAACCTGAGAAGGATGCACATTCTATTGACTTTAAACTCGGCAGCCAGTGAAATTCTGAAGTCTTAACATAAGGCTTGGCAAAATGCCTAACAGTCCTAGAAAGGCCCCAGGTCTAGGCTGCCCCTGGGGGATAAACGTTGGAGCTGGACTGTTCTTATTTTGTTATCAAATATTGTCAGAAGCAAGCCTGCTGCTTGGTTCAACGTTTCTCATCTCCTGGACTCCCTCACCCTTTTACTGCCAGCTGGCACACATCGTAGGTAATCGCAAGCAGGAACTAACGTAGCAGTTGTACAGCGATGAGCACCTTGCTGTTTCCAATCCTAGAAATTGGTTGATGGTCCCTTTCCTTCTGCCTGTACCCAGTAATAGGTTCATATCACTCATATTTCTCCCAATGGTCTCAACCACAGTTAACTGCAAAATAAATTTAAGGGGTGTTTCTAAAACAAGAGAAGGCAGCTACACTAAATTAAGCAAAAAATAAACAGAACTATTGATTGGAAAGATTGAGGGAGCCAGCTGGATCAAAAGGTGAGCCTGAAAACCAAGCCTCAGGCAAACTAAGTCTTTTCTTGGTGCTCTGTAGTGCCGCTAGGGAAGATCTTGTTTCTTCATAGTTTTCAGAATCCTGGGAAAGGGAATCTGGCCCAGGTGGGGAAGTATGGCTATGCTTAGGTCAGC